ATGCCTTCTCGTCCGTAGTCCGCTGCTTTGTCGGCCAGCTCATTGTCGTGCTCGCCCGTGTGTCCGTACACGTGCTCCCACGTGATGCGCCTCCGCTCGGATACCTGCCACGTTATCTCTTGGGCGGCTTCGGCCAGCTCCCCGTTGGACTGGGCCCCCCAAGTTCCACGTGCGATGTTGGCCGCGTACTCTGAGTCGTAACGAATGTGCACCGGCGTGTCCCCATTATCCGGCGCCTCCTCCAGAAGCCAGCGCATGGTCTCGCCAATGGCAGATAGTTCGGCCGTGTTGTTGGTACGTGTGCGGGCGCCAATCCAACGATGATCCCACGCTTGTGCAATGACGGGTGCGTGCAGCACCACGTCGGGTATCCTCCCCATAGTGCCCGGGCCGTTGTATCGGAAAACTACGGAGCCCCAGCCTGCCTCTCCGTCCGATCCAGACCCATCCGTGGCGATCCACCAGTCCTCGGGCGGTGCCGGGTGGGGGCCGTACTGAACATGCATCCAACGCCCTTCCGTGGTCTGCAGAGCACGCTGGAATTCCAGACGCGCCGGACAGCGGGGCTCATGATACTGTAGCCGGGTCCCCAGGTACTGCTTATTGTATACAGTCGGGGCAATAATGCGCCCAAGTGGTCACCAACCCCGGGTCCCGCATGGCGCGATGCTCGTCGTAATGAAACCGTAACTGGTCCCCTGCATTGAAGTGCTTCTCGCAGCCCGGCACTGGGCACGCGTACCTTCCATCGGCCGCTCCTGCTGCCGCAGCGCCCACCCCCCCTCCCGGAGGAGGGGGAGGGGGAGGAACTGGGGGAGGGGGGGGGCAGGAAACGGGGGGGCGCCCGGAGGGCCATCCACAACTAATTTTGGATCGTCGCTGGGCAGGGGCGCTCCCGGGCGCCATTGGTTCACTAGTGCCCGATACTCATTCGTCACTTCGATGGCCGGAAACGCCCGGTCGACGGCGCGCCTCCAAGCCTGCCGGCCGGTGGCCTTTCTGAACCAGTCGCGTTCGTGGATTCCCATGCGCTGAATCCCACGACCCAACCAAAAGCACTGCCAAGAGCACCAGTTGCACTCGTCACATCTACGACCGGCGACCCAACCGAACAACACTTGTTTCGGCACCCTGCAGGCCGGCATTTGGGCAACGTGACCAAGCCATTACATGGCTAGGCGAGTGATCTGGTCCTCGATAGTCCTCCAGCGGGAGGCGCGATACATTGCGGCGTCAGTAATCGAATGCTCCTCCATGGCCCACACATCCATCCCGAACTCTCTCCTGACCCCGTAGTTGGCCACTCGTTGCAACCTGAGCAGATCCGCCTTGCTCCAGGAGCGTGACCGGCAGCCCGAGAGCAGGGATGTAATGGCACACTGCTGGGCCACTGAAAGCCGCGTATAAATATCGACGCCACTCGTCCTTCCACGGCCGTGGGCCGTGCCCTGCGACCATCCTTTGGCGATGGTGCGGATTAACCCTTTGGTGGCAATAACCCGGCGAGCCGTGTCGGCCGTTTGGAGGCCGACTTCATGATGGATCCCTCCAAGGTGCTTTAGTTGTGAAACCTCATGTTCGCGACGCACATCATGTGGTGACCGCTGGTGGCCGCTGATATACGACCGTTCCGTTTTGCCAGCGTTTACCCTTTCCTCCCAGTCTGACATAGTCGTCACCAGCAGGGGTTCCGACGTACGCATCTCTGCGGCAAAACCCGCTATCATTGCGTCGTCGGCGAAAGCGACGTCTCCGAGCACCATAGCGCGTTAGGAGCTCGATTTCCCTTTCTCCGTGATCTCCTGGTGCCGTTCCCGGGCCTTCTTTTGTAGGTGCCCGTCAATCTCGTATACTCCCATGGAACCCCGGGGGTCAGACCCGACGCTGCCGCCGAGCGCTTGCGTCGGCCCCTGAAGTCTTTCAGCACCGCGTCGTGGAACACGTTGAATAAAGGTGGGCTCGACGGGCACCCCTCCCGAAGGCCGCGTTTGGGGTGCCATTCTTCCGACGCGCCGCCCAACGCACGCACCTTGCAGTGCTTTGCATCCCCGGCGGACATCCTCTCAACTCTAGTAGCCGCCACAGAGCTGGACGGCACACCCGAGGGTATGCTTTTTCGATGTCCAGAAAAGACAACACTATTGGATCGCCCCGTGTCATGGAAGACGCTTCCTCGATCAGTCTGCGCGTCACCTGCAGAGCGTCGTCGGTCCCACGCCCTCTCCGAAAGCCCGATTGCCCCTCGCCCAGGAACTCCTCGGACCACTGGGACACCCGCGAGGCGACAACTCACGCTAGTAATTTGGACCCAACGGAGAGAAGCGTTATGCCTCTCCAAGTGTTCTTGTCCTTGCGGTTGCCCTTTTTCTTCCACAGCGGCACTGCGAGTCCAGTGCGCCATTCTGCCGGCCACCCGGCGGCTTCCTCCTCCTCCTCCCCTTCTGCGGCCAACGTCCACATTCGTCTCACAGTGGCAAACGCGTGCTGCCAGATTTCATTGCCACCAAGCCGGAGGGCTTCAGCGACGAAACCGTCCTCACCCGGTTGTTTGCCAGTTTTCATCTTGGCAACACAACGATCTAGTGCCAGATCCGTTGGGACTGCGTCAAGCCAACTCGCTGTCAACGGCGATTTTGGCATTGACTCCCATACCTGGTCAGCCACTCGGCCGACATCGCCGGATATTCTTTCGAAGTGCCGTCGCCAGTCGGCTCGTTCCTCGTCAGTGCCCGCTACGCTGACGCGCCCAAGGGGGCGCCGGCGTCGGCCCGAGCGGAGTTCGTTGAACAGCCTGTAAAGTGACGCTTGGCCCCCTCGGTGAGCGGCTTCGGACGCCCGCCTCTCGATGTCTTCCCAGTATGTCCGCTCCCAATTTCTGAGCGTGCGACGGCGGACGCGGGCAGCTTCCCGCTTCGCTTGGAGCGCCGCGGCTGACGTGGAGGCCTCTGACAAAGACCACAAGCCACGAGCCTCCTCCACTTTGGCGTCCAATCTGCGCTTCTCCTGCTCATGCCCCCTCAGCCAGGGGATCTGGTGCCGAACAGGTCGGGCACCTAACACATCCATCCCTGCAATTTGGGCCACCTCACAGATCGCCCGCCACGTCGGCGGGCTAGCGCCGGCATCCCCGAACAACTCCGTGACTCGGGAAGCAAAACGTTCCCGAAGTTGTTTCGCTGATTTACTAGACCCGACCATGCTCGGGTAGTTCGGCGAATTGCCCGCCGAGCCAGACCTCGGACTCTGGGCTCCGCGTTTCCACCATGCTCCCCCGAGACGGATGCCGATCTCTACAGGGTCGTGGTCTGTATATACCGCCCAGGCGATGGCACCGTCGTCTCTGGTCCGGGGCCCGGCTCTACGCTGCCGCCTCCGCGCCCGCCGGGACACGCCCAGTTCAGGCCCCGACGCAAAATGTAGCGTCCGACACGCGCGGGTGCGCCATCGATCCCGAGTACGAGTAAAGAAGTGAACCAATTGGTGGCCCGTCCGGAAACGGGGGTGCCACCACGTGCACGCTTCCCTCTGTGGGAACGCTGCACTCGGGGCAAAGCGCCCCTCCTCCTTACAATATTCCAGTAATTCCCTCCCGCCGTCAGTGCGGCGAGGCGCCCCATGGGATCCCAGCACAGCCGTTTTCTCGGGGCCCCTGCAGGGGCCGAGCTCGGCGTCGAAGTCTCCGCCCATGACCCACACGTTGTCGGCGCCTCTGCTGCGCTCTTCTACATGGGAGATCTCCTCATAGAATCGATCGCGAGCACGAGCGTAGCGAGGGCCTGAACAGGGCGCGTAGCAGGCCACTAGCGTGAGGCCTCTTTGCGCACCCTGTCTGGGAAACATGATAGACACACACCTCGTCCCCTTCCGTTCCTCCCCCCCTTTCACCACTACCTGCCCCCCTCCTTTCCTCCATTCTTCCGTGAGTCGTGGACCCAACGCAATTCCTACCTTTCCTCTGATGACACCCGTCCAGACTACGCCCTCGTAGTCAAATTCTCTCACTCCGTTGTCAGGGAAACTGAGATCCGATAGCAGGCAAAAGTCCCAATGTCTGGCAGTCATGAGCGCGAGCAAACAGTCTGTCTTCATGAGTTGTTGCGCTCCGCCTGTGGCCCCCCGGCACCTGGTGTTCCAGGTGCCGCCTCGGAGGTACGTGCACTCCCCCTTGCTCACGGCGCGACGGCGCCGGGAGGCTCTACGGAGCAGGAACAGTCTGCGCATAGCCATCGCCCGTCTCTGTTTCCTCCTACGTGTTTTCTTGGCTTTCCTGTGCGCTTTCCTGCGAGCGTTCCTCCGCTGGTTTCTCGTCACATCATCACACGACTGCATAGGGTCCGTGTTGATGGGCACAGCACCAGAAAACCCACTGGACGAACCAACTCCAACTGCTGGGTCGCCTGGACCATGGGCACCCCCAGCCTGCCCCCCGGATGGGGCCGAGAGAGAAAGAGCCGGAGCTCCAACCGCCCTCTCAGGCATGTTACCCGGGGAGGTTTGAGCAATCCCGCCCCCCAGCCAACCCGATAGGACCCGTGAGGAGGAGCTCCCGGAGGACCGAACCGAAGACGCAAGCCGAGAGACACCGAGCCCCCCCCCGTCCGTCTCCCAATAGGGGGCGCCCTCTTGTAGAGGGCGTGGGTTAGCCGTGTCCATTGGCTCCACCCTCCAACAGAGCAGAAAAAGGATTCCCATAAGGAGCCAGTTTGGCACGTTGCCCCTGCTGCGGCCGTTCTGCATGTGTACCTTGGAGGAGGAGGAGGAGGAGGAGGAGGAGGAGGAGGAGGAGGAGTAGGAGGGGGAGGAGGAAGAAGACGAAGACAAGCCACACGATGAAGTTGCAGAACTGCGTGGAGGCCCATGCTCGAGCAGCAGATGTGTCAACTCCTGGGTAAAAACCAATTGCACCACGGAGGGTGCACCACGCAGCATGCTAGAACACACTGTTTGGGGCCCACGTTGGCGAAGAGGTTGCTGCCAGATTTGATTTTTCAGCCCGCGGCCCCCAGCCGCTCCAGCAGCAACTCCAGTTCCTCCTCCCAGTCCGGCTCGGAGCCCGGCGCGCCCGAGCCGCTGCCGCCCTCGTCCTCCGAGCCCGGCGCGCTAGTTGCGGCGGCGGCCGCGGCGGCCATGCCCGAGCGCGGCCGCAGCAAGGGGTGGCCTGGCTGTCACTCCCTGGCCGGCGGCCCAGGGGGTGCCCGAGACCCGGGCGTTGCAGTTTCCTCTCGCTGGGCGTCTGGCTGGCAGAGTTCTCTTGCGCTGCGGCCCGAGCCCTCGAGCACAAGAGGCGACGGTCCCGCGCGCAGGCTCCCGCACACAGAGGCGCGCAAGCACGCACGCACGACGATACGTGCAGACGCGTGCGCGTAAGCACGCTGCTCGCGCGGCACGCAGCACCAGACACGGCACGGCCGCGCGTGCAGACGGAAGACTATGAATCAAGAGCGAAGCCCAGGAAGGGAAAACGAGATGCGGCTGGGCGCGCCCACGCGCAGGGTCCACCACGAACACACACACACACACGCACATGTGCACGCGCACACACACACACATACACACACAAACACGCACACACACACACAAACAAGTTAATAAACACCACACACGCAAACAAACAAACAAACGAGCGAGCAAGCAAGCAAACGAACAAACAAACAAACACCACACCACACACACACAAACAAACAAGCATTTTTCGGCCGTCGCGCCGCGCGGAAGGCGCCCGCCAAGTAGCCAAAAGAGAAGCCAGGAAACGTCGAGACGGCCGAGCCCTCACGGGGCAGCGGCTGGGCGCGGCGCCAGGGCGCCGGGGCAGCGAGGCGGCGGGCAGGCGGCGGCGAGGGGCGGGGCGAAGGCGGGGCAGCAGGAGGGGCGCCGCGCCAGTCTTCGGCGGGCAGAGCGGACGGCCGCCGGGCGGGCAGCAGCGAGGAGCGGCAGGGCCTCGTCGTCGTCGCCGTCGCCGTCGCCGTCGCCGTCGCCGCCGCCGCCGCCGCCGCCGCCGCCGCCGTGGGGGTGGCGGCTGGGCGCGACCTGGAGGCCAGCAGGCTGGAGGGGCGGAGGGGCGAGAGGGGCGAACGGAGGGGCGTGGGCGAGGCGGCGGGCCGGAGGGGCGAGAGGGCAGGATCCCAGGGGGGGGGGGCTGGCGCAAGGGGATCGAGGAGGGCAGGCCCCCCGCGCGGCCGGCGGGGGCGGCGGCCAGGCGGTCACCGCCGAGGGCCATCCCAGGAGGTCGAGCCCCAGACATGATCGCGTCGCGGAAGGATCAGGACGGGCAGTTTTTGGTACTTTTTTCGGCCTCGGGGGGCCGTCGCCGGGCCTCGGGAGCGTCCAAAAACGACTCGGGCCGAAGAACCGGTCCCGAGAAAGGGTCGGGACTTTCAAGGATCCCCGATTGAAACAATCAGGACGTCGCATGTCTGGGGCCAGGCCTGGGAGTGCGGGCGTCGCTGGCGCGAGGCAGCGGCAAGGCGATCGCCGCGCCAGGGGCCCATCCAGGAGAGCGAGCCAACCCTGGGAGGGTGGGACCTCCTGGAGGACGGCAGCGCCCATCGGATGGCCCCGCGACGCAGGACGCGGGCACGCCGAGATTGAAGGACAAATGGCAGACATAATAGCGGATGGGCCGGCACGCCGGAAACGGAAGATAAGCGCGGGCCCCTGATAACGGACATCGGATGGGCCCGCGTGCCGAAACTTGGTAGGCAAGCTGTGGGATATGGTAGCGCCTGGGCGGGCACGCCGACATGGATGGGGACTTGGCACTTTCCTGTGAGGTACGTGAGGTGCTGGCGCTGGAGATTGCGCGTGAGGGCACGGATGAAAAAGGAGGGGCAGCCGGCGGGGCGGGGAAGCCACAAATAGACATGAGGCTTCCAGCACGCCCACGGGTCGCGCGGCCCCTCGCGGCGAAGAGAACCCTGCCCAGCGACCAGCGGTGTAGCGCCCCAGACCCGATCCCGCATGGAACGCCCAGGCCCCGCTGAGGGGGGTCGACGCCAGGGCCCGGAGGGTCGGCTCTTTTGGGTGACCCAGAAGGGGATCTAGCTGAAAGCTAGGGCTCCCAACTTCGCGTTTCGCGCTCCGCGAAGCGCGAAGCGCGAATAACTTCGCGCTCTCGCGCCGCCCTCCCAAAGGGAGAATAGGAGGACGAGGAGGAGGGGGAGAAGGAAAGAGGACCGCGAAGCGCGAAGCGCGAATAACTTCGCGCCCTCGAGGGAGCCCTTGTTTTGGGTGACCCAGAAGGGGATCTAGCTGAAAGGGGGTGGTGAAATAGGCTCGGGGCAATTGTATTGCAGATGCACTGCGCCAGAGAATTGCATTGCATTGTATTGCAAGAAATCCATTGCACGCGAACATCCAGCAATAGATTTGCGTCCCGGAGTGTATTGCACGCCCCAAATGCATTGCAACACCACAAATCTATCGCACCAAATCTAGTGCACCACCTCCTTTTCGCTGGACCCCCTTCTGGGTCAACCCAAGTTCTGGGGTAACCACTCGAAGTAGACGGCGTCGTCCGAAAGGGAAACCGCGGTGACGTCGCGATGGTGGCGCCGGCTCTGAGGAGGGGTCCTGGCAAAGTGCGTCGTCTTCGTCGAAAGCGGAGGCGCAGGGGGCAGCGCAGGCCGCTGCAGACGAAGCAACGCCGGCGACGACGTTGGGAGCTCCCTGAGCTGGGGTCTTGGCCGCGGGTGGCACAGCAAGGGTCGCGGGGTGAGCCGATGGGCCTGCCGACCACCAGCAACGACCGGCGGGCGTGTGAAGCGCAAGCACCGCCGCTATCCAGCGAACAACGGAAATGTGGACCATGCGGGGGGCGTGGTGGCCCGCCGGGGGGGACCGCCTGGGGGACAGGGCGGGTGGCCCGGGCCTGCGGTCTCGCGTGGGCAGGCCAAAAGGAAACGAAAGAGTGCACACGCACACACACACACATACACTCACAGTCACACGCACACGCACACGCACACGCACGCGCACGCGCACGCGCACACACGCACACACACACGCACACGCACACGCACACACACACGCACACACACACGCACACACACACACACACACCCACGCACGCACGCACGCGCACGCGCACGCGCACGCGCACGCGCACGCGCACGCGCACGCGCACGCGCACGCGCACGCACACGCACACGCACACGCACACGCACACGCACACGCACACGCACACGCACACGCACACGCACACGCACACGCACACGCACACGCACGCACACGCACACGCACACACACACACTTGCATTCTTACACGCTAACACACACTAATACACACGAGCACATAGTAACACACACTAACACACTTGCACACTTGTTGCACACTTTAACACTTATGCACTTACACACTTACACACTTACTCACTTACAGACCAACAAACCTGCACACTTACACACATCTACCCACATATACACACACACTCTCACACACACACACACGTACACACACGTGTACAAACTTACACGCAATTACACACATTTGCACACATTCACACACATCTACACACATTTACACAGGTTTACACACATATACTTAATTACACCCTGCCACACCTACACAATCACACACGTACACACTTACGCACACTTACACATTCACACACTTACGCATTTACACACTTACACACAGGCACACACTTACACAATTACACACTAACACATTTACACACATACACGCTTACACGCTTACACACGAACACACACACACAAGCACACTTACTTTTCAGGCGTTGCGGCCCTGCGCGCGGCGACGAGGCGTAGTAAGCCGACCGCAGGCAGTGGATCGCGCGCGTCTACACCCGGCGAGCTTCGCCAACTGGGGCTGGAAGGCGGGAAAAGCGAGTAAGCCAGCGCGGAAGGCGGGGAGACAGCGCGAACCGACAAGGAGTGCGCAAGGAGCGACGGGAAAAATCGTTTTAGGTCGGGCCTGTCCCCTCTACAGGCCGATTTTCGAAGAACAATTCAACATAGCCCAGAAAAAATTACCCTGCGACGTACCCAACCCACGTGCATCAAATGGCAAGAAGACTATGCCAACATTCGCAGGAACAACGACAGTGTAGACGCGGCGATTTGCTGTGCAAGCTACATGGGATGCGCATGCGTTGCAGGATTCACAGGACGACGATCGAAAGAACGAGGATTGAGGCCCCAGGATCGAAGAAGAACGGGTACGGGAACGAGGGGTAGGAGAGGGATGGAATGGAGGGCGGGGGGGGCGAAAGGCCATCGCGGAAGCAACAGCATGCATGGAGAAGGTCAGGCGGGGAATAGGACGACGACGAAAATGGCGGGAGGAGACAGAAGACTGCCGCGTTTTCCAAGTGCGAGCAAAACCCGCAGCGCTGCCTGCGCCATGTCGTCGCAGAGTTCCACATGATAAAACTTGTTTAGAGTGCAAGGAACGAGCGAGGCGTAGCTCGCCCGCTAGCTTCTCCGCCTCCTTCCCGCGCATTTCAGCGCGGGAGCTGAACGCTCGCAGGCGCGCCGCCAGGTCTGCGGGCGGCCCGCGGGAAAGAAACTCAAGGCCGGGGTCGCGCATCATCAATCGGTTGTCCATCGTCCAAAGTTGCACTGGCGACGTACTGGTTGAACGCGGAGCGAGCAGCATCACGCGCGTGCCTGAACGCCACGCAGGTACAGTGCACGCGCGATTGGGACTTCAGGTCGATCACGCGCGTCTCCACCAGGCTTGGCAACACCACGCGACTGAGGATCTCACTGCGGTCTGCCATGCTGCTGTCCGCGAATGCAATGCGCTGCCTGCAAGTAAGGCGGCGGCGTCCACTTGTCTCAGAAGATGTTCCCGCGGGCCCGAAGGGCGACCGCCAGCTCGAGCCGCGGCGCCGGCAGGCCAGATAAGGATCATGCAACAGCAAAGACGATGACAGAGCAACGAGGTATCGGCGAGTGCATGACCGGCCTCCGTTTCCTGCACTTCTTTCCTGTAGTTCCCCTAGCTCATCGAGCTCAGCAGATGTTTCTGCGGGCCCGAAGGACGACCGCCAGCTCGAGTCGCAGCGCCGACGAGCTGCATGCACATCAGGCAACACCCCAGGAGACACTGGCACACAACGATTTGACGTCAGTCAGTGCCAGACCACTCCATGTCTAGTTCCTCGCA